GCAAGTGCGCTTCCCCTTGCACGTATTTTCCTTGTGGGAAAGCGCAGAACCAGCAAATGTACTTGTCAGTTGCAGTAAGATGGGAAAGCAGTAGACCTAACGTTCCATAAGCGTGCTTCTCCCTGAAACACCGAGTTTTGCAGGAAAGCAAAAAAAAAAAACCCGCAAGTGCGCTTCACCTTACGAAGTTGTGTACTGCGGAAAAGCGACCTAGAAATACTTCATTATCTACATTTACTGCAAGAAATCCATGCGCGAATCTCATCCTCCGAAGAGCACTTATGGCAATAGGCAACATTGATTGACTGAACATGACTTTATAACTAACCAAATTACAGATTTCTCACTGGCAAAATTAAGAAAAGAAAAAAATCATTGATTTGATTTAAACTGTTTTCTCAAAATAATTTTTTGAGAGAAATATAATTTCTCTGAAAATAATAAATACACTAGATTCAATATGCAAGATCAACCAGAAACATATACTTTAGTCTGTCTGCCTGATTCTATACCTCTCTCTGCTGGTATTTGAGTTTGTATGCTTGCTCACACACGCAGTTCTTTTGTTGATTCTAACCGTTCCCTTGTTTTGCTATACCTGAAGAACGAGCTGAAAAGTAGAGAGAGCGTTCAATTCTCCAATTTACTTTTGCCTCGAAGAAGTCTTATATTTGCTCGTTATCCGCATATCAATATTACTTGATAATTATTTTACATGGAATGAAAAGATAAATACACCTGAAAGCAATAAAATAGTTAAGGTTCCAGTGCTAAAATTAATGTTTTTTTAAAAAATATCTTATATCAAAATGTTTGATTTGAAACATCGGTATTCAAATCGTACTTGGGAAGTCATTCAATTACAGTAATTAAATTACTGTAATTTAATTACTTTTCTGGTAATTTGTAATTCATTACTTTCTGCTAAAAGGAGTTGCAATTGTACTTTATTTGCTTTCTAGCATCAGTAATTACAAACTTTGAGGCACAATTACAATTACTTTTGCAAGGATTTCCGGTGCCGACCGGAAATCCTTGCATCATCATCACTGATGACGACATCAGTGACGTCACCAACATCCGCATCGTCATCACCACTGATGACGTCATCAGTGACGTCGCTGATGTCACCAGCATCCACATCGTCATCATCACAGATGACGTCACCGACATCCGCATCGTCATCATCACTGGTGACGTCATCGGTATCCGCATCGTCATCGTCACTGATAATGTCATCAGCGACGTCACTGATGACATCATCGGCATTGTCATCGTCACGTGACCCCCCACCTCAGGTCACTCCACCCCCCCCCCCCCAGTACCCTTCCCTCCTCCTCCTCAAGAGCTGCACTCTAATTCGGCGTTACAGGGAGTTGTAAACGGCTTTCACTTCTTTTTTCCAACTGTACAAAGAGCATGTTCCTTTACACCTATGTGTGTTACTTGGAAACTTTATTCAAATATTTAGATATCACTAATTGTCATTTTTACTTGCCTGGCTAACAAAAGTGTGTCAACCCAATTTTACTTTAGCGATCTGGCATCCTCCAGTATATGAACTGATTTATATTATTTAAGATATAAGAATGTAAAACTTCATTGCCCAAACTGTCAGGTTCTATTATTAATTTAACAAAATGTATAAAAGGACAGTACAATATGTGACATTTACACAGCGATGCTTAAGCCTCCTCCGACACTGGGGCAAGAAATGAACAAATGCGTTGCATTCTAATTAACTGGTTTAAAGTTATGTGGCCCAAGTAGGGTCGGTTTCAGAAATAAGTAATTGTAAAGTAATAGCATTGGTTTTTAAAAGTAATTTGTAATTGCAATGAATTATTTCTCAGGTAGTAGTAATTGTAACTGTAGTTAAACTACTTTTGGAGCAAAGTAATTGTAATTAAATTACATTTTAGAAGTAATTTACCTGTATGATTAAAAATGTGGTCTAAATCATGATTTCAATTTAAATCAACTTGATTTTCATCTTCCATTCTGTCGATATGTGTCAGTGCATGACCATTGCCAATAATTTCATTTGCAGCATGCGACATTGAGCCCTCAATTCTTTATACGAGGGCAATGGGGGATGGCCAATGGATGAAGATGGGCTGAACAAATTTTTTCCAACATTTTGTTGATATACTATTAGATAACTTTGCACTCTGTAGATGAAATTCGGTACGGTCTGCTTTTCTGGAATCGATCGGATGGACACTGAATCTATAAGTCGATTGAATCAGGATGTCCCATGCAGGGACCAAACTTTAATTTTTTTATAGCTAACTTACTAATATTGTAATATTGCTGCTTTTATGCTTCAAAGTGTAGATAAGTGGGTAGCACAAATGCTCAGAAAGAGTGGCAATGTCATGTTCTTTATATACTTCATTATAGTGGAGACAAGAGCTTCTGGAAAAGTATTTGCGACTCTGTGTAGGTGTCAATCAGGCAAAGGCAAACGCTGCCTTGTACCGCAGAGATGCGAGGAATTGTTACACCACTTTTCTTTGCAAATAACGATTTGGCAGGCTTGACTAGTCCAGAGATATCTGCAAACGAGTGGTCAGTGCTACAGCGATTGTACATAGTGCTGGCAAAAAAGGGCTGTCATTTGTGGCCCTCGAATTAGGAGGGTCAGCAACAGGTTTATAATAATCATCTTTATTTTGGGTGCCATCAGTCTTTATCTTGGATGCCCCGTGGTGCACCAAAACAAACAACAAAACCAGCAAACAAAAAAAATCCTAAACACACTTAAAAGTTAGCAAACAAGTAAATGTAAGATTATCCAAATGGCGATGGTACATTGCAACAGATGCAGATATATAAAGGTGAGGTGGAGCGATGGCATTAATGACTGAATCCGAGAGACGTGAGGTATTGCACAGTGAGCACACATAAAAGCATACGAAATGTCTGGTTACACATGAAGGAACATGAAACAGTTCAGCTCTAGTTTGCCTGTAGTTGTTTACAAAGGCATCGGTGGACATCTTCACAGACTCCTACTTTAAATAGGGTGGACATGCCTGCAAGAAGTTTTCCCACATCGCACCGGTGCATGTGAAAAGCACCAGCTCTTTTTTGGTAACCTTCTCCACGCTGCGCCGGTGCATGCGGAGAAATGCCAGTGCTCTCGCAGTTAGCTTTCTTACGTTGCTCTGGTGCACGCAGAGAAGAACCGGGCATTATTTGTGGAGTGATCAGAAAGGAAAAAAAGGGGCCCATGTGCGCTAGCTATTGTTGGGGCAGGATTGATATAAAATGCAGTGTGTTGATGTAACTACTAAGGTATAAAACAAATTGGCACCCCACCAAATGTAAGTAAACGACATCAAAATCGATTTGTAGTGCAGAACAGTTTATTCACATTATAACACAAAATTCCGATTTCCCCGTACCACTTCAGACTCGGAAAGAATCATCGGACTGTGCAGCGCCTAGTTGTTGGTTTCTTCAGAGCCAATTTACACAAGTAGCAACTTGCTCAGTTTTCAAGGGGCCTTGTTTTTGGAGCCTTCTTGTTACCAGATGTGAGGCCCACAAACTTTTTGCTATAATTTCCCCAGCCTCTACTATGTGGTCAGATGAACAAAATTTTGCTGGAAAAGTCGGAGAATTCTGAAGAGACAACTTGGCAGACACCCCGAGATAATGCAGCACCATAACCTGTTCGGCACAGAAAATATGTTGCTATAAGGGTCTGGATCAAGAATGTCACAATTGGGAACCAAATAAGCACTCTTCTTTTATTTCACCACAATGGATGCTGAATCCATCGGCAAAAATGACAGGTTAACAATATGCAAACAAAATGAAGGAGTTGCCCACAGGCAAACACTGTAGCGAATCAGCCTGCATGGTGGCTCATATGCAGCAAAGTGAGACAATAAATCATATTCATTATTGTAAGCTTAAAAGGCAGTAACCTGCTCGAGACTTCAAGCCCGACAAAATCATAAGCCTCTGTGTAGGCCTGGTTTTGCTGCTTCACACAACGCTCTTCAATAAGTTCATCCTAACACGAAAAAGCCTGTTGGTCCGCGGGCACGAATGCCTATCCTGTGTTAGGAAGTTGCTTACACAACTTCAGTGGTGCAATATATCCCAAGCTTTTGTTGCACTATTAAACCCCAATTATCATCCCACACAACTTCCTAGCACAGAACATTTCTCTATCCGCCACCCGAGAACGCGCTCTCTAGCGTTCAGGCTCCGCCGAGAGACCTAAATTTAATTTAAAAAAAAGAAAGATTAAAAGCATCATACATCAACAGTGAAAGTTAACACTTGTAAAGCAAGGGGTCACATCATGTCCAAATAATTGAGAAGCTGTAATGCTACTAATTAAAAAGTTAATTGACAAATTTTAGCTAATTAGCCAACTGATTGGGATGGATACTTCACCATACAATTTCTGCCAAGCTCAATAAATGAATGAATTAACACAGTATCAGTAGGAAGGTCATCTCAATTAAAAAAAATTAAAACATGTTGCAGATAGCTAAGGAGCAGAAATTCCCAGACATGTGGAGTCAACATCACGAGGCCAAAAGCAATATGTGCCCTTGAGGGCACATATTGCTTTTGGAGAATTGAAGCTCAACCTCAATATGATCTAACAGTGCAGTCAAATTTTGATTTAAAAAATTCCTAGTAGGCACTACGAGGTCGAGAAATCGCACCCCGATACATGGCATCAAACTGAATCTGAAACGTTGTGCAAGAGTGCCGGTGAAGTCATTTGCATACCTGCGGCCCGGCACGTGGGTTGGCGTCATCGCAGCCGGCTCCGCTTGAGCGAGTGGAGCCAGCTGCGGTAGCTCCGACCCACGTTTCCGTGCCGTGACACAAAGATGATGTCACTGGCACTCTTGTCCGCCATTTCAGTTATAGGTTTAGTGTGATGCCATGTACCAGGGTGACACTTCTCGACCCCCGTAGCACCTACCACAGATTTTTCGATCAAAATTTGACTGCATACTGCTAGTTCAGTTTTAGTTCATTAGCTAACTAATTACCTAATTTCACCCTTTCCCTAGTGGACGCCATGACTACTAACACTGCCCCAAGGCTCAAATTACCCTATCTCACGTTCTCTCTCTCTGAAAATTTGGTGCAGCTAAAAGAAAAACACTGTACAAGGTTACTTGACAAAACAAGGTAGGCAATAACAGGGATAAACGCAAAGATAATACATAAAGCGGAAGGTACTGGAAGAAACCGTTGTTAATTAAAATAACCTCAGCTTATTCGGCATTTTAGCTGCAATACAACTTCGGCTGCAAACAAATGTCATGCCATGGTTGGGTTTTTTTTCTAGACAGGCTTCGTGAAAGAGAGATTGGCATCCTGCGCATTGAATTACCCCAGGAGCATCAGCAAGCAGAGGCTGCCTGCACAAACAATGCACGGTGAAAACAGAATCTTTTGGTCGCACACGAGAAACAAGGGAAAGAGTTACAGGGAAGTCTTCCATCATCCCATTACGAATGCACTTTAGTAGATGGCCCCTCATTAATTGCTGTCTAAAGTTTACAGTGGTAGGGTCTTTGCCAGATGCTATGCAGTACATGTTAGCAATAGCAAATAAGCCACAATCTACTGTGCAACCTTGGCCCTGTGCAGGTCTTACAAAAATAGTTACATTTGCAGATGGTAACTTAAGTATGCTGCACACCTGTTTTACAGCATCAGGGGGAACAGTTTGATCAAGAGAATCATAAACAAAGACAGAATCAGGGGGCGCATCAATAGTTGTTACTGTGATCCAATGATCCGGGTTTGCTGTGTGTAAGATTTGAATGAATGGACCCTTTATCTGCTTGAATAGTAGTCCCTGGCTCAGCAAAGCGTCTTGGAAACCTTCCCGATGCGGAAATTTTTGACGTGTTAACTGCATTGCAATATTCATGACACTGTCTGGCAGCGGACGGTTGTATAATACATCGTCCAAGTGTTCATCTGTTAGTGAATAAGCGCTATAAAGAGGAATCAACTCTGCACGAATCATGCTAAGACAAAGTTTTTTGTTGCAGATTTCTGACAATTTACGCTTTTTTGTGACTTTTACAGTTCGCGGTCTCCCTCGTTTACTTTTAATTAAACTAATACGCAGCTCTTCGGAAGGTTTCCTGTCACTTGCTGTGTCTGTTGGCTGTTGATCAGGCACATCCTTATGAGCTGCACGGGGTGCTACAGACTGTGACAAAAGCTGCACCTGGTTGCTAGAAAACGTTGTAAGATTGCTAAGGAATGTCTGAATATCTGTCAACTTTTCATTTAGCTCCTGTTCGCCACACTGGGCCAAGATGTTAGCTGTTGGTTTCACTATATCTGTTAAAAACTTGTAGGCATAATTATACCTGGCCTCAATGGTATCCAATTTTACAGGTGGGGGCTTCAGTATGGCTGATGTAACTGTGGTTTGGGTAGGCTGGCTTGTGCTAGACTGACTTGGGCTAGGTGGGTTTGAGCTAAGGGGGGTCGGGCTATGAGGACTTGGGCTAGGCGGGTTTGAGCTAAAGGGAGTTGGGCTACGTGGGCTCGGGCTAAGTGGGTTTGAGCTAAGCGGAGTTGGGCTACGTGGGCTCGGGCTAGGTGGGTTTGAGCTAAGCGGAGTTGGGCTATGCAAGCTTAGTGGGCTCGAACCAGCTGTGCATGGACCAGGCATGCTTAGAGGGTCGGTAGCTTCAGATGCTAGGAAGTGGCTCCTACGCCATCGATGCGGAATAACAGAGTGGTCAAATAGTTCTAGATTTGCAAAAGACCGTGCTGTCAAAATGTGGGCACATGGAAGTCCATATTGGGAATAACAGAGGCATGTGCAACTGTCTAGGCTTTTTGCTATCACATACTCTGTCCCTTCCAACTTAACAGTGTATGCGTCATTTTGAAAGCTAACAATATAGCGAATAGTCTTAAACTTCTCATATTCCCGTAATACTATATTCCTAGCTACCAGAGTGCACGTTTGAGCTAATGTTAGCTGGAACATGTCAAAGCTACTTGTATTTAAATTGAGCTTAAGCTCTCTAAGTTTTGCAAACCTTAGTGATATAATATCATGGTCAATATACTCTAGCAAAGCAGTCATCGCAGCAGCCAGGTGCATTCCTGGACGCAGGAAGCTTTTTAGTTTTTGATTATGGCTCTCAATTCGGTTGTTGGTATTATTCCCCATTGTTACCAAGTCTCGGCGGTACGCATGCGCCCACATTTCTTTGCAGGAATCCCAATTGTTCATGAAGTAGAGCAAAAAATCGTCAGGAGAGTGTTCCCTCAACAGCGCAACTTTTTTGTCGTAAACAGACAGGCGATTGGCATAGACAACTTCTTTAATTAGGCGACGCAATAATTCCCTCTGATGAACTGGGTATTTCATAATCTGCAAGTCCAAGTAATGGAGAACATGCCAAGTGCATAGGAGAATGGTGCTTTTTGGCAGAAGCTCTTTCAAAATCCTTAACTGATTTAGGTCCTTATCTACCATAACAACTTTGCATGCTGAAAGTACAAAAGGATTACAATCTATAAACTTCTGAAAAACAGGGCGAACAATTAGGGAGGTTTCCCTTTGCAAAAACGCATAGCAAATGCATCGACCCCTACCACGAGCGTCTTCACAAAGAATTGAATAGAGAATGTAACCTTCTACGTTAACCTTATATGTCCCATCGATGAACAGAATTTCGGGATACTTTTCCAAAGTTTCTCGCATAACGGACGTCTGGAACAACACAAATAACAGCTCATTGTTTTTATCTTTTTCATAATGTATGATCCAATTAGGGTTCTTGGAGGCAAGACTATGCAATTGCTCTAACAACAGGGCCCCATGAGCCTCACTAGTTTTAACTGCAGTCACAGAATTCACACTACGGTTTTTGTAATTGTTAATGTCTTGTGTTGTTAGAGTCTTGCCTGTTTTTTCATAGACATAATTTTTGAAATCCTTAGGTTTAATATTGCATTTTGCTACATCTGCAAATGTCTCCTTCTCAGATGTAGTCAGAAGCCTGTTTTGGGGGTATGTGCTGCATAATTCCAGACTATGGTTATGTTCAACAACAAGTTTTGAGATTACATAGCACATATCTGGCTTTGTCTTCAAAACTAACAAGAGGCGTGCCTGGCAACCTGAAAAATAATAAGACTGTTGTGGGCGCTTTCCGCTGCCCATGGCTGATAGAGGGCGTCCATGGACACAGATGAATTCAACTGAGGAGTATTTAAATTCCTCACACTGAGCTAATGGACATGTTCTAGACCTCCTTTTTGTAAACACATGCAACCCTTGTTTGCACCAATCCTCAAATGCAGCTAGAAAGGTAGAGTAGTTAGAAAACTTGGCCTGCGCAAAAATGACACCGCCACCTCCATACAAAGTACAGGATTTTGAAGGACTGGGGGCATTCTGCAGGTTACTAACGGCAGATCCAGGGCTTTTCTCTGGAACCTCGGAAGGGTACTTGACTCCCTGGGCAACGCACTTATCATCTGCAGCAACGCCTTCGCCTACATGATGCCCTCCGACAGCTATCTCTATGCTAGAGCCCTCCCCACAACCATCATGCTTGAGACATGCCATTTCTGAGAAAAACTCTGTCCCCGCGTCATGCCTTCTGCATGCAGTCACATAGTCAGCACCACCCCCATCATGACCACAGGGCGTAAACCCACAGCCAGGAGTACCCCCTGTATCATGCAGCACATGCTTGCCTTGTCCACCCTCCCCATCAAGCACAGAGCATGCAACCCCACAGCCAGAAGTCTGCCCTGCGGCATGCAGCACATGCTTGCCTGCCCCACTCTCCCCATCAGGCCCACAGCATGCAACCCCACAGCCAGTAGTCTGCCCTGTGGCATGCAGCACATTCCTGCCTTCTCCACCCTCCCTATCAGGCCCACAGCATGCAACCCCACAGCCAGTAGTCTGCCCTGTGGCATGCAGCACATTCCTGCCTTCTCCACCCACCCCATCACACCCACAGCATGCAACCTCACAGCCAGAAGTCCGCCCTGTGGCATGCAACGCATGCCTTCCTTCTCCACCCTCCCCACCATGCCCACAGCCAGAAGTCCCCCCTGTAACATGCACTGCATGCTCGCCTTCCCCTGAGACCCTTGCATCATGCTCTATGCCCGCATTCACTAATCCCATGCTGAAGCCCTGCTCTCCGTCATGCACTGCAGACACATTCTTTGCATGCGTGAGTGCCCTTCGACTCTGCAACAGGGCCTTCGAAGGACGTTTCCCTCCAACGACCCTGCTCTCTGTCACACATGCTGGGCTGCACTCACCTAAGTCAGAGAAAGGATTGTCACAAACAGGCAAAGGAGAAAGGGTTGAGAGGCACCCTACTGCAAAGTCTTCTCCATCCCAAGTAATAGTGGGGGACGCAATAGTGGCAGCACGGTTTGGTACCTTGCGCAGTCCCGGAGACTTTCGTCCCTTGCGCTTGGACTTCATCCTCTGCCACCGCTCTCCGCCCACTATACTTTGGACAGGGTAGACTACCCTGGGTTCAGCTGCTGCCGAGGCAGCCTGCTCACCGGCCCCTACAAAAGCTGTGCTCCTCGAGGAAGCCCTGGGGCGCCCCTCTGCACTAACTTCTGTACTCATAGCAACATCGGTGACTCCACCTCGGTCCAGCTTCGTAGGCTTCTCAGAAGGTTGCTGTCCTTCCGGCCTCGGCTGAACCTTTCCCCAAACAGGTACGCATGTACTAGAGGGAGCACAAGTGGCCGTGGATGCACTCTCCCAGGTCTGCCATACCCGGCTGCCCTTGCTGCGGACTTGAACGCCACCAACCAGCCTGAATCCAGCACCACAGCTTCCCATCCTGGGCTCATCAGAGTGCTTGCCTCGTTTGTGCCTCCGTTCAGCATTTACACATGTGGCAACTGGTTGGCTTGTGTCCGATCCGAGCTCGGGTGCCGTGCTGGCAGTTGGGACAGGAGGGCCTGCAGATTTTGACATCTCTGCCCAGGTGGCCCTCCGATCAGCAGCTGCCTCACAAGGCGCAAGGGTGGTCTCAACGGAAAGAGCAGGAGAAGCAAGGAGGGGTTGCACAGGAGAGCCAAGCAGCGGAAAGTCAACCTCACATGCCATGGTTAGTGGCGGGCTCTTCACGGAAGGAGCAGCAGAAGCAACAGGAAGGGGTTGCACAGATGCAAGAGGAGGAGGCTGCACAGAGCAAAGCGGTGGTGGCTCATCCTCGCATGCAGAAGGAGCAGCAGAAGAAAGAGGAGGCTGCACAGAGCAAAGCGAAGCAGCAGCAGAAGTGAGAGAAGGAAGCTCCACAGAGCAAAGCGGAGGTGGCTCATCGTCGCATGCCGAAGGAGCCGCAGGAGCTGAAGGAGAGCCAAGCGGTGGGAACTCGAGCTCACATGGCGCGGTCAATGGGGCACCCTCGATGGTCCAGCCGTCCCACGAGCGGGTCCCTGGCATTGCCTCCATGTGGTCCTGCTGGATCTTGGCCCTGGCCATCTTCTCCAGGATGCTCCGCACTTGCTGGCCCATGAACCCAGCGAGGACCTGCACACGGTACTTGACATTAGCACCAAAGCTGATTGGCAGCTGCAGTCACCTCACTTGTTCAAATTGTTAAAGATGTTGCCTTGAAGATTTCACAGAAAAGGTGCTGCACCTTTAGCTTTATATACAAGGCACCTATGCCAAAACGTCTAACTGGGACCGGTTGGCATCTCGACTGGTTACAATTGGAACTAACTGGTCCCAAGTGGGAATTGGCTGTTACCAATAGGAGTCCAACTGGGACTAGCTGAGGGGTCAACTGGCTTGACTATGCCCAGATGGGGAACGGGTATGGGTAAGTGGGACCAGTTAAGGAGTTAACTGGTTAGAGGGATTCCCAAGGGGGAGTTTCAATTGTTTTCCCATTCCCTGTTGGGGTTCACATGCTGCGTCGATTTCGACAAGATGGGGGTGTATTGATCTTTGCTAGTGAAGGAAAAAAAAACTTAAATTTATAGATTTACAGAAATAAATAAACCTTTAATTACTAGGTATACATTTATGTATTTAAAAAAATATTTCAAATTTCAATGTACATATTCTTTTATAAATTGCGATATAGTTAGTGGCATAAAAAATGTTTACTTAAATCAACATTTATGTACATGTATAAAAATGTATTAAACATTGAAGCAAAGACCTACCCTTTGTTTTTTAATCGCACCCAGCAGGTTGCAGTGACGCACACGCAGATTAGTTTTACGCACTGTCGACAGATGGCACATGTGACGCAGTGAAAAATCACTAATCATGATTTTTAACGATGATGAAGTTAAGAGGCTGAAGGTACAGAATATTACAGTTGAGAGAGCTAGTAAATACAAGTATCTAGGAGTATGGATATGTGATGGTGCAGAATATCTCAGTGAGCATGAAAAGTATATAATAGGTAAGGGCAACAGAAATGCAGCTGTAATGAAAAATAGAGCACCTTGAAATTACAACAGGTATGAGGTGGTGAGAGAGATTTGAAAAGGGGTCATGGTGCCTGGCTTGACTTTTGGAAACACAGTGATATGCATGAAATCCGAAGTGCATGCGGGACTAGAAACAAAACAGTGCAGAGTAGGTAGGCTGGCTTTGGGGGCACATTGCAAAATGCCAAACCAGGGAGTACAAGGAGACATGGGGTGGGCGTCATCTGAGAGCAGTGAAGCGGTGAGCAATATAGAATTTGAGGATCGGTTGAGGCAAATGGACGGGGAGCAATGGGCACGAAAGGTTTTCAGCTATTTATACATGAGGAGTGTAGACAGAAAGTGGAGACAGCACACTAGAAAATTAAGAGAAAAGATTTTAGGCTATAGTGGAGATACGGAAGAGCAAGTCTCAGTTAAAGGGGCCCTGCAATGACTTTTTTACTAATTTTTAATTTGCACCGAACCTGAGCGCGCTGAACGTAGTAACTTAGTGAAACTTTTCTTTTCTCAAAATTCCCTTTATTTTAAAAGTTATAGGCGAACTAAAATTACAAAGACAAGCAAAAAATAACCCCCCTCATGACGTCCTTGGTTGCTTGAGTGTGGCCCTGAACTAGAGGAGGAGTAGTGAGCTCATCGAGCGCTCACGGCTGCCGCACTCCGTGTCGACGGCGCGAGAGGGCGCCATCAAAGCGTGTTCTGGATAGGCTGCATGCAGCGGGCAGCCAGAGCGGCTCTCATTGCATTTGCTGGACGATTAAATACTAATTCGGCATGACACTTCATTGGCCACAAACGGCAACAAACACGGGGTAAATGTCAGTTCAGAATGAGAGCTACTTTGCGCTGCCATACCGCGAAATAGCCAAACCGCAAGACAAAGCTTCTCGCCGAAGGCCTTCGGAACGCTCGGAGCCGGTCGGATCCTCCTGCCCATACGACCGCAGCGCCGCCGCGTACATCCGGGACCTTTCCGTGTCGGCGCCTGATCCCACTACTCCTTTCTAGTATGCGCCGCCTTTTCCACCGCTTGGTGGCGGGTATGTCAACAGGTCATTTCTTGTTTCCGTACTTTATGAACTGCATTCGTTTCTTTTTCTATCTAAAATACTGAACAAGAACTACTTTTATAAATAATGGAAATGGTTCGCGCCACTTATATTTTCTATTTCGACTAAAAAGAAACTTTAGCAGCTTTGACCAGTAGTAAGCCCAGAACCAAAGACGTCACATTTCGCGCGCTTTCGGTACCGCAGGTCGCCCTCGTCGGTGGCGGAGGTTTCCGCGTCGTCCGGTTAAAATATGACGCACTGATATTTAGTTACTCTCTCCGTGCCCGCTGGCTTGCCCGAACCGCAAGAGACATGGAAACCGCAAAAAAGGTAGACGCTTAAGTATGATTGCAGGGCCCCTTTAAGAAGAAAGTTAAGGCCACAGAAAGAGATCGGTAGCTAGAGGGAATGCAGACAAAGACGGCTCTGGAAAGCTATAGATTAAACAAAACAGTTATTGCCAAAGAAAGCATTTATGACAATTCTAGGGGAAGCTCATTGTTGTTTGAGGTAAGGGCATTCAGCGAACCAGAACATACAGAGCGAAGTACCAGGAAATGGATACAGTGCGCACTGCTTGTGGAGAGGAGGACGAGACGGCTGAGCGCTTGATACTCGGCTGTAAAGGGCTTCATCCTACGCCGACCGAAGACAACATAGATTTAATAAGTCATTGGGTTTGAGAAACAGCGAAGGAACAGTGGATTTCAAGACAGTAGAGGTTACCAAGCAAAGATTAAGTGAATGGTGGCAGCAAGCGAGAGAAAACTAGGTATTTTCTTATTAACTGATGGCAAGGGTGTTTTATAGCCTCACTTTCTGTGCAGTGCGGAGTGAATATAGCTTTCAAATTTAAATATTCTAAGCTTAAATGGTAAAACAAAATGGCTAGGTGGCGCAAGCTACCGCCCGATCCAAAGGGCTCAGCCGGATTCATCCATCCATCCATCCAGTGGTCGGTAGAGAAGGGAAACCATCGCCGAGGTTGGTGTATTGATAAACGTGTCGTTATGAAAATGTCAAAACCATATCTGCGCTTCTTGCGACCCAACTAAATACGCCATGGTGGTCACGGTGAACTTCGAGGGCAGAAAGATGCAGTTCAGCGACCGGAGGGCACCCAGGGAAAAACCAGACGGAAGAGAAAACAGCCGCGGAGGGCACAATGGTAAAAATGGCGGAAAGTCTACCCGAACTGGCAGCTGTTGTGACACAAGCAATTGGAAATGTTTGATTGTAAGGTGGGAGCGCAACCGCATCCTATCGGGACTTCACCTGCGCAACGCGGAAACACGGGTGAGCACCTTTCTTCACGCGATGGAGAGAAGCTAGGGACGTCGTCACGGATGCTGACAGACGCCAGCGGCTAATCTTTCACCTCGCACGAATATTAGCTCTGGGCGATTCAATCGTCGCAATTAGCTAACGAGGCAACTGAAGCGGTCCTTAGAGCTACGCTGTGCTTCCTTGAACCCGGAAACGTGGACGTCACCGAACCTATTTATTTTCATTCTCTGTTTTTGACAATAAAGACTGGTCAACCTTCCAAGTTGTGCCGTGTTTCGTTGCTGGAGTTGGCACCGTTCTGTCAACCAGTTGAATTCAACCAGTAATTTAGCTCGCCACGTGCGCAGGTCAATTTTCAGTTCCCCTCTTTACGGCGAGCCTTGCAATCGTTGCCGCCCTATATTCGCGCTCTTTAGTGCAGCGACATAACGCACGTGTACATACCTTGTTGCCGATCCGGCTTGGGTGGACGCCGTCGCGGCCGATCCACTGGTGCCACTCGTCAGCCAGCCCGTCAAGGAACGTGAACCCTTCCCTGCGACACAACTCTCGCAGCAGCGAGTTCACCTCTCGGTAACGGTCATTCAAAGCCTCGATCTCTGCAGCGTGACTACGCTGCCATTCCAATGAGCAGAACCTATTCTCCCGTCTCGGAAGAACGGCAGAAAAGGCGATCTGCATCATTGGATTGCGTTCACAGATCTGGGCAGCTAGACGACGATATTTGTCGATGTACACGCTGGCACTAATATGGGAATTATTAGTGCCAACGTGCAGGATGACAACATCAAAATCGGGTAGCCTCTCAGACACCTGGGAAAACAAGTGCTCGATTCTAATACCACTAAACGCCGCAACCTCAACAGCCAACCGACTATTCAATGGGAAGTACTGGGGCAAGTACTTCACCATCGAATCGCCGGCTACCAAAACTCGAGGCATGTTGGGGGTGCGATCAAAGCTAAAATACAAAGAGTAGCACTAGATACGGAAAAAAGTATTGCTAAAAAGAACAAGACAATGCTAAACAAAACGCTTCAAAGAGTGCGAAAAATCAGCCAAAATAGCTTGCGTGACCGGAGCCGACAGCAGCGCGGGCAGGAAGGAATGGTACGTGCAGCACGGGGCAGGACCCGACCACAGAAGACTACAGCTGCTACAGCGGCAAACGCACATGGTCGGGCACATGTCATAACAAAGGCAACATCCGGGGCCGGGGATGATACGTTACTTCCGGCGTCGAAGGAACGATTTCCACACAGCCGTCTCTCCTCCGACGCGACTACGTCACTTCCGGCGTCGGAGGAACGATTTCCACACAGGTCCCACTCCTCCGACGCCCGTCGGAGGAAGCACTTCCGGAAGCATACACCAAAATTACAAGTAAACACACAAAAGCGACATCGATACAATTATCTTCTAGAATATCACCTTATTTAGTCATAACTCTTTCAATAGGCACTACAAGTTGTATTTATTTTAAGAAGAAGAAGCAAAATTTTTTTCGTGAGAAAAAACAAAATATCAATGTTAAGTCTGGTAACGTTGTAATTTTGCCGAATCACTGCCATATCTTTAGAAAAGTTGGACAAAAGTTGCGCCGAATTTTCGATTTTGGGGGGGGGGGGGGAGAGGGTCTGGTTTGCCCCCCCACTCAAAAACAAGTTGGTACGCCACTGGCCAAGTGTCTCCTTGAACTCCTTGCCATGCGGCATTCGAAGCACAGAGCTCGTGGTGATTCGCGTTCGAATCAGTTTGCAGACTGTCTTTTGTATGATGTACATAAGCAGTGTGACCCCGGCTTTAGTGGAAAAAAAAAAAAAAAAAATTATGGCGGTGTGATACGACCACCTCGCAATGATTTCGCCATTTTATTTTATAAACTTCGTGATAATTGTAGGTACTGAATCGAAAGGTGGGGCTATATCGAGTAAACGTCTAGTTTTTGGCACCGTGTAGCACAAACCACCGCATCCCGCCATGCACCCTCAAGAAAAATAACTCTGGTTCATTTATAAATTCCAGCCTTGTTCCAACCTGGTTTATTCGGTATTCCAACTCCAACCTGCTTTATTTACAGATTCCAGGCCTTGAATATTTAGGTTAGACGCGAAGTACTTGGCGACGCAGTGGCTTCAAGCAGTTTCTTCATGCTTTTGTAAACCAGGAATGGCCGTACAAACTTCTCTATTAGAATCCTAGAATTTTATTGTCTCGTGGTCATCCCTCGTAGAGCAAATAAAACTCCAGATCAAATTTAACATCGAAAAAAAAAAAACACAAAAAAAAACATACGCATGCCCCTAAAAAAACATGCTTTTTTTTGCAAGTTGTTTACGTTGTTTTTCGATCCTGATTCCTGAGCACAAGGTTTGATACTGCAAAAGTGCAGTCCTCGTGTCGTCCTTCTTTTCATATTTTGTTATTATTTATTTCGTAAATTATGCAAGTCATATTGTAAAAATTATAGCGGTGTGATAGGACCGTACAAAGACATACACATGCACACACACACAAGCTTCAGCATCTGCTTCTTCCCAACTGTGGTTCCTCTCCCGACCCCCCGAACACGTTTCCAATGCTGCTAAAAAAAAAAGAAGGTCATGGCCGGCTTGGCCCGCCTTGTAGACTTGAGTGTAAGGCCCGTACCCGGCCCGGGCTCTTCGTGAATGTAGCCGTGAAGCCCGAGCCCGACCCGTGGCCCGCGGATTGGCCCGTACCAGTGCAGATCTCTCTACCTGCCACGCTTTCTGACAGGGGCGCACATGCGGCCCGCGGACATGACACTGCGAGATGTGATCAAGACCAGTAAGATGAACCTGTCTGCCAAATATTGAAAACCCGCGCAGTTCCCAATGAACATTTTTTTGGCTCGCGTCGTTTTTGAGTTGTGCACCAGCGCGGCGAGCGACGGAGTTGTTGGAGAGCGTGTCGAATGGGACGGCAGGAGAAGCCTCCGCTTGCGCGCTTCGGGATCTCGAAGGCCATGTTTGAGCGAGCGTTTTTTTTTTCTTGTTTTTTTTTTTTTTTTTTTTTTAATGCGGAAGTTTTAACTGTTCCATGGAGCGAGCCGACGTCATCAGCCGCGCCAAACGGCAGATAAATTCGTGAAGCCGCGATCTGAGGCAAAGCCATTCAAAACGGCAAGTAAATGAAGCCGGAGGCCGCCGCCCGTTAGTTTCAATCAGCGCCACCCCATGGCGCTGCGTGCCCGCGCACTGCTTGTGGAGAGGAGGACGAGACGGCTGAACACTTGATACTCTACTGTAAAGGGCTTCACCCTATGCCTACCGAAGACAACATAGATTTAATAAAGTCATTGGGTTTTAGAGACAGCGAAGGGAGAGTGGATTTCAAGACTGTAGAGATTACCAAGCAAAGATTAAGTGAATGGTGGCAGAAATCGAGAAAAAACTAGGTATTTTCTTATCCACTGATGGCAAGGGGGTTTCATAGCCTCACTTTCTTTGCACTGCGGAGTGAATATAGATTTCACATTTAAATATTCTAAGCTTAAATGGTAAAACAAAATGGCTAGGTGGCGTAAGCTACCGCCCGATCCAAAGGGCTCAGCCGTATTCATCCATCCATCCATCCGTGATCGACCCAACGGCGGACGTGTTTCCTGGTTCTCCTCGAGCATCCGAAGCTAAGTGCCAGTTTTTCTCCTTTTCTCTCTCTTTTTTTGAGAGTTGATTGGAAGCGACTATGCGGTAGCAGTATTAGGTTTGAACAGCAGCAGTTAACGTTAGTTTCGCAAAGTAGGCTCTGTTTGAATTTTTGGCGGGAAGGGACGGTTTGTTCCCGGTCTAGACATGGGTCTAGATTTGGGTCGGCATGACAAGGGTGGGGACGAGTTGGTGCAGTGCGAGGGGTGTGGGAGGTGGTGTTACCTGGAGGAGACGGGTTTCGGGAGCCTGGAGGTGGCGGCGGAGGTGAGTTTCGAGTGTCGGCTTTGTGTGAAGCTTCAGCAGGTAACTGGGGAATGGGAGGGTAGAGTTCGGGAGATTGAGGCCCAGCTTAAGGCAGAAGGAGAGAAGCGGGTGGGTCTCGAGGCCCAGGTAGAGGAGCTGACTAGGCAGCTTAATCATGAGAGGGAGCAGCGGGTCGGCCTCGAGAAGCAGGCGGAAGAGCTGGGGGAAGTATGGAAGGCGGGTTTAGAGGAGCGTAAGAGGGAGTGTGACAGTAGGGTAGAGCGCCTGGAAGGGGTAATTCGAGCGAGTGAGAGTAGCGAGGGAAGAAAGGAGGAAGTGTCAGTTCTAGCGGGACGAACCACCAGTCTGCAGGCTGGGGTCCCTGGTGGTCGGGAGTCCGGCCTGTTGGCAGGCGGGCTCGACGACGCTGGAGAGCTGATTGAACCTCAGCTCAATGGCGCCTTCGAGCAGCAGGCGTCGGGCAGTCAGGTGACAGGAGATAAGTCGCAGGACAAAGGCGCGCAGGCACCAGGGGGATCTAGGGTACTGGTAGTGGGGAGCTCTAACGTAGCACGGGTTAGGAGGGGTGTACATAACAGGGTGAAGGGAGACCAGAGGGTAACCGTAGAGGTCCAGCCAGGGAAGTGTATGGTGGATGCTATGACCGCAGCACGTGAGGGGGTGTGGGATAACCGGGAGGGAAGGAACCTAGTAATAGTTCATGCGGGGCTTAATGATGTGCTGAAGGGTAGGAGCCAGAACCTCGGAAAGCAGCTAAACGTGGGAATACGTAAGCTGAGGGACGTGTCTGAGAATGTGCATGTGGTTGTGTGCACCATTCCAGAAGTTCGGGGGCACTCCGGGTTAACGGAGAGGAGGGTTGTCGAAGCCAACGGAGTAATTAAGGGTATGAGTCGACAGCTTCGGTACGACGTAATGGAAGTAAACAGAGAGGTGTACGAGGCTGGCTCCCGCCCTTTTGCAGATGGCATTCACTACAGTGAGGCCACGGGTTACAGGGTGGGGGATAGGATGGGCCGCACGGTGACTGCTTTTTTGGGGGGACCGAGGGCCCTGGGGGCACTGAAGTAATTGAAAACCCAACGAAGTCAGGAGAGGCACCCAGGGTTAAAAAGAGGAGAAAACGTAAGAACAGGTATAAAAAAACAGCACAATCAGACATTGGATATATTAACATGCAGGGTGGTAGAAATAGGTTAAAATGGGAAGAGGTAGAGGAGCAACTAAGAAAGGAGGATTTAATGGTGTATGGGTTTGTGGAAACACATCTCAGAGACATGGAGCAGCCACCTTGCAACCCTGACTATGTGTGGGAAGAATGCAACAGAATGGAGGGAACGAGGAAGGGAGGTGGAATTGGAGCATTTATTAAGAAGAATATGAACTTTCAAAGGATCAGAAAGGAGTGCGCCGAACATTTGTGGCTGAAAGGAAAAGTCGCTGGGGAATCAACAGTCCTTGGAGTGGTTTACTTATGGACAGGGACAGGTGCTAAAGAGGAAAACATAAAAATGATTGATTGCATATCAAGAGACATTAGTGAACTAGGGGAAGGCTCCGAAATAATTATTATGGGAGACATGAATGCCCATATTGAGGGTCTGGATGGGTATACGGACTCAACTGGAAGCATATTACTAGAACTGGTGGAAAAACATGACTTAGTTTTATGTAATACCAGTCAGAAGTGTGACGGGCACATAACTTGGGAAACTGGCAATCTGCATTCAACTATAGATTACATACTCATGTCACACAAAATGTATGGTAAGTTACAAGTAATGAAAATAGATGAAGAAGGTTCCAAAAGTCTTGGTAGTGATCACAAACGTATTAAGCTGAATTTTGCCAGAGAAGTAAATGCTGAAACTAGACAACATAATTCAAAGCAAACTTTCTGCAGCGACAAAGAGTTGGAAATAGTTGTTGAAAGAATAGAGGCAGCAGTTTCAGGGCAACGGCATACAGATTGGACCTATGAGAGCCTAACTAGGCTTTTTGCTCTAGAACTAGACAAAGTTAAGAGTAAACGAAAGGGGAAGCAAGGACATAGACCAAAAAGCTGGTGGGACAAAGAAGTGAAGCAAGCGATACAAAAACGTCAGGACGCCTCTAGAGAACACAGGTATTCCAAGCGTAGTGGGGAGTCCGAAACGGAAGTAAAAAGAAAATGGGACAATTTTATAACATGTCGCCGAGAGGCATCCAGTTTGATCAATGCGAAAATTCAGAGAAAGGGTGAGGAATGGATGAGTAATGTAAGTAAGAAAGATAGAAACGCTGCCAAGAAGTTTTGGGAGCACTTGAACTCACTCGGTGAAACAACGCAAGCTAGACAGAGGTTCATACTCTCGCATCAGGGAGATCAATTAGAGGGAGATGATGCGATACAATATATAGGAGCAGTGATGGAGGAGAAATTTCG